GGCTTGTAGATGATTCCAAAGTGTGTCAATTTAATAACATGCTTCCTTTAAATTTTAATTAGATCTACTTCTCCCAATTATAGAGAAAACATGCCACATAGGTTCAAGTAGGAATCCTAGAACGTTGACCTCCTTTGCCTAATTGATGCACATTCACATATATCACAAAATATACATAATTCAATTTAATGAAATGTGACATCATAAAATATAATTAAAGTGAAACTTTATATTCATATTTAGAAGAGACAATTTACTAAAATATCAAGTCTTTGAGAACATAAAATTATACAAAATTCTCACATAAATGCAAATCCAAATCTAGGTTAAAAGAACAAACTTAAGAAAGTCAATGAAAACTTTTGAATTTTATTTAATTACTCCCAAACTAAAATAAATTTATAAAAACTAATTTGATCACTCTTCTTCTACACTTAAAATTCATTTTATCAAATTTTCTTGTATGTTTTTCCATAAGTTCATTTTTATATCAAAATATTCCTATTGTATAAGTATAAACATTTAGGTAATGCTGTTTGTTTAGAGGGGAGGGGAGGGGCTCCCCTTCCCTTGTTTGGTAAGGTGGAGGCTCCAAAACCTCCTCCCCCCCCCTAAAATTAGGGAGATCTCCCCTCCCCTCCAACCAAACAAAGCCTTAGATAAATTTTCAACTCCAATACAATATATGTACACTTTGAGCTAATAACACATTATTAATGATCCTAGTTAACATAGAAAAGTGTGTAATAAATGAGGTTGTGGGTTTAATTTCAATGATGCCCATGTGGTTCTTGTGTGGCTTTGAGTGGTTCTTGGTTTTGGGTGACAAGTGAAAACAGTGGGAGATGACAGAGAAAGAAGACGATAGAGAAGCTCAAGTGTGTATAATTTGAAACTTAAAGAGGGGATTAGGGATTTAAACCTTCCTATATATAGGCCACATACAAGACAGTTCTCTCATACAACCATCTTGTACATGTTCATGTTTTTTTAGAAAAATAATGTTTTGAACTTCTAAAACACATAGAATATTTCCTTTTGGAATTGTCCTATATTATGAACATACAGGACGGTTCCTTGTCTAACCATCGTATATGTGTGCTAACATTAGGTGTGCCTACAACTCTACCTCCTTATATAGGATGGTTATGCATATAACCATCTTATATGAGGCATCCTCTATTATTAATTTTATAGTAGTGACATAATCAAAATATGGGGCACTTGTAGATACAACTGCTGAAAAAAAAAATGGCTTCGTTGGTTATAAGTTTGAGCTCTAATGTTTTTTTTTTTCAATAAAACATGTTAAAAGTGATTTAAAAATAGGATCAGAAGAATATCATTAGATAGACCTACAACATACTTGTTACCCATCCACCCTTTATCGAGTCCAGCTTTGGTGATCATTAGGAGATGTGCACCAAGGTGGTCATCATTTTTTGTGAGATCTAGATTGTCCAAATTTAATATGAATATTTCAAATTTAAAGCTTTTAATTTTTATTTTATTATATATCTATAAAAAATTATTTTAAATATTTAATGAATCTTTTAATCATTAATTTGGTCATCTAAACAATATAGATTTAGTTTGGACTGTCTACTTTAATATTATAATTTTTTTATAAATTTTTATTTTAGTAAATAAAATATTAAAAATAAAGATAATCTCCTATTGGGCACTAAAAAATTATTTTTTAAAAAATGATAAGTTAAAAATTTTAAATATGAATCATTCAAAGTAAATATGAATTCAAAATTTCTAAAAATTATTAAAAAAATTTAATTTTAAATTTAAATCATCCAAAACCAAATTCGGTATTCCCTTCGTTTAAAAATATAACATATTTTTCTAAGAAGAATGACAGTGAAGTTTCAAAACACTGAATTAATTACAGTTACATTTGTTCAAAAATTATAATTTTTTTAAAAAATTTTATTTTGGTAAATAAAATATTTAAAATAAAGATAATCTCCTATTAGGCAGTAAAAAATATTTTTTAAAAAAATGATAAATTAAAAGTTTTAAATATGAATCATTCAAAGTAAATATGGATTCAAAATTTCTAAAAGTTATAAAAAAAATTAATATTAAATTTAGATCATCCAAAACCAAATTTAGTATTCCTTTCGTTTGAAAATATAATTTTTTTTTAGAAGAATGTCAGTAGGTTTCAAAACATTGAATTAATTATAGTAAGATTTCCAAAAAGAAATTTCTACAAAATAAATTATAAATATTAGTTCAAACAATTATAAACAAAAATTTTTGTTATAATCTAACAATTATATTATATTATATATATATATATATTTATTTATTTATAACTAAAAATTTTGAATTTGTAATTATCTAAATTGATATTTTTAATTAACTTTCTTAAAAAAATTGTCAATGACCTTACTATCATTAATTTAGTATGCTGGGACATAATTGTCAGTCTCCCATTTTTCAAAGATAAGATGTTAAAATATAAATATTTTATCTTTCAAAATACAATTAACAAGATTTTTTTTAAAAAAAACTTAATTAAGAGTATAATTAATAAAAAATTTTAATTAATGCACCTTATATTAAATAAGAATAAATATAAAAAATTATACTCACTTCGTTTAAAAATATAAGGCATTTTTAATTGAATCTCACCTTGATAAAATACTTACCTACTTTTAAATTAATCTTATCTTTTTATATTTACCTTTATTAAATACCCTACAATAAATATAAAGTCATTATCAAAAGAGGCACTTTTAAAAAAATAATTATACCTCAAAAAACTAAAAATATCTTACATTTTTTAAATATCTAACTTCTTAAAAAATATTTTATATTTTTAAACGGAGGGAGGATATATAAATTTAAATATATTTAATTAATTTTTTAAAAAATATAATTTAATTAAAAATATTTTATAAGATTAAAGGCAACAGTATTTACTACCCCCTTATTCCTGGCTTAGCGCACCAAGGAAAGCACAAATATTTACATGATTCACTGAGATCTTGCCTTACGCTGGGCTGGCAGACGTTGGCAGACCTACGAGCTAGGAAAATTTTACATGATAAGACCCCAAAACAAAAATTGTATGTGCCTCCCATAAAAAAATTTCACTTGTTCCCATCATTTTAAAAAAAATTCAGTTTCCCCCTTATAAAATTCACTTGTCCAATTTGTATGACTTAAATGATTAAAAAAATTATCCCATTAAAAGATAGCTTTTTATTTTATTATAATTTTATATTGTATGCACTGTTATTAGTATTTAATTTTATGAAGTTATATCCTTAATATAAATTTATAAATATTTAAAAATATTTTTTATAAAAATATAAATATTTAAATTATGCCTTCATTAATTTATTTTTTTGGGCTGGCAGAAAATGTTTCACATGTTATAAAATAATTATCATGTGTAGGCTGCTTAACTTGTCTTTTTGAAGTAAAAACTGTAGTTCATTTATTCATTGAACAAGCAGCAAACTCTATCCCATCGACTACATAACTCCTTAAAGATTATCCTTCTTTTTTTAATTGTGCCAGGAAAATCAGAGCTGCCATTATCTTATTGACTAATATTGCTTAGACCAACGCCACCACAAATAATAAATTCACCTCTTTCATGATTAATTTACCAAAGCTTATTTCAACGGGGGAATAACATTTAAAAATTAAGTAAATTATTCATAAATAAAGATCAATGACAAGTCGTATTCGAAAAAAAATAAATTATATTTTTATTTTAATAATAATTTATTTTATAAAAATTTTTATTTGTAAATAAGTTTTTTTTGATGGTTTTTAAATGTGATTCTCCTAGAAACTGTACCACCGACAGACAATGGATGCTTTGTTCGTCTTTTATTTCGGCCCCACCTCGCACTGGGCTTGGGGTATCTAATTCTCTGCCTCTGTTATCTTTTATCTTTTGTAATGTTAAGTCTTACTAACTTCGGGTTTTTTTTTTTTTTGACTTTTTGACTAACTAATTTTTATATAAAATAAAAGATACTTTAATATTTTAAAATCACAAAATGAAAATTTTTATATTTTTATGAATTTTTGAAAATAAAAGTGTGTAACTTTAATATTTTTATCTAAAAAATTATAAAAAAATATAAAATTCTTTTGTTTCAAAAGTTCAATATCTCGTATTTTATAATTATGTAAAAAATAATAATTCAAAGAAAAAAAAGTTGGAAATTAAAGGTGGTACATTACAAATGGCATAAGAATAAATATTAAGAAATGGCATCAAAAACTCCTAGTGATAATTCACATATTTTATATGCTTTTATCGAGAAATTCTTAGATGGACTTGATGTATCATATCATCTATATTTCATTCAATAAATTTATGACATTCAAATGACATTAAAAATAATTAATTCTAATATTAATGATAATAATAAGAGAGGAGGCAAGAAATTGAATAAACATTTTATTATAAAAATAAAGTAATTAAAAATAATGATACATAAAATTTTATTTAATTGAATTAGTGTAATATTATTGGATAGACCATGATGTGGTGTATCATATCCATCCAAAGCTTCTCCACTTTTACTTCTCAAATCTTGGCTTTTTAACGCTTATTTTAGAGTATTTTGGTTTATTTGGTCTTGTAATTAGAGGCTAAGGTAATATTTTTAGAAATTTTTTTGATTTTTTTTAAAAAATTAATTTTTTTAAAAGGGAGGGCTTATGGTCTAACTCTAAATCATTTGAATAAATACCGAGTGTCAAAAAAATAGTAAAAATTACAGTGATCAAGCTTATGAACCGTACCTACAAGGACGGGCTAGTTGGCTGCCCAATTATAAAAAGTTGGAAAAGTGTGGCACTAAAAAAGCATTAGAAAAAGTTATATCAGACTCAGAGGCTCTACCCTCTCAATACATGCAATATAACACGTGTTTCAATTTCCTCGAATCTCAGTTATATAAACCCATAAGCTATTTCCCTACCTTCACCCATTATTCAATTGTTTTCTCTGTACAATGGCCTATCCCAAGAAAATAGACGACGAAGACCTATCCCAAGAATGCCCGGACTTCACTGCCACATTACCCTCCGAACCCGATTGGTTTGCAACTCAACCGTACAATTACCAAGGATTTTGGCACTCCAAGAGACTAATGCAAGGAATTCTCAATTTCCAAAACCACTTCCAAGCCTGTGACTCTGACATCTTCCTTGTCACCTTTCCAAAATGTGGCACCACTTGGCTTAAAGCTCTCACTTTCACCGTCCTTAACCGCAAGAGCCATTATCCAAGCCCGAATCCAGACTTGACCCGAAGATCAATCATTCCTCCTCCTCACCCTCTCTTCACTGTCAAGTGTCAACCCTCATGTTCTTGTCCCTCTCTTGGAGTTTAAACCTAACCAGCCTCATGATCTCAGCTCGTTTCCATCATCACCGAGGCTTTTTGCAACTCATCTGCCGTATGTTTCATTGCCACAGTCGCTGAAGCAATCAAGATGCAAGATAATATTCATGTGTCGAAATCCTGAGGATGCGTTCGTCTCACTCTGGCACTTTGGTAACAAATTACGACCAGATCAGTCCAACAGGATCGATGGTGCATTTGAGAAGTTTTGCCAAGGAGTGAGCATTTTTGGGCCACTTTGGGATCATGTGTTGGGGTACTTTAAGGGTAGTGTTGAGAGGGCAAAAAAGATAAGTTTTTGAAGTATGAACAGCTAAAGGATGAACCAGTCCAGATTTTGAAGAAGCTAGCCGAGTTTATAGGGCATGGTTTTTCTAAGGAGGAGGAAGATGGTGATGCTGTTGGTGATATATTGAAGCTATGTAGTTTTGAGACGTTGAGTAATTTGGAGGTGAATAAGAAGGGGAAATTGCCGATAGGTATTGAAAATAAGCTTTTTTTTAGACGCGGAGAAGTTGGCAATAGAAAAAATTTTCTCACATCTGATATGATTCAGCGTCTTAATGCTATTACACAAGAAAAACTAGGAAAACATGGCTTGAAGTTTTAAATCCATTTAAAAAAAGCAAAGTCTGCTGTAAGAAATAATGGTTTTCTGCAGAGTATGCATGTTTGCTTTTGATATCTTAGCTGACTTCATATAATAAATTGATCTGTAGGAATTGTTCTTCATGACGTTTCATAATATAAAAATCAAAACATGTAGAGGTATATATCAGTTCAATTGTGATTGCTTGAGCTACTTTATTTTATTATTTTTACTTTCCATTTTACTTACAGTGATGTGTATATGCGAGCTGTGTTTCCTGTGTCCATGAAGAGTTCTGAGGTTCCTAGATGTTTGAGAAAATAGTGTTTGACGCTTTTCTTCAACCGTTGACATAAACATATACTCCCTCCGTTCTTTATTATATAGCACTTTCTGTAGATTTTTTTTTTTGTTCTCAACATAAAGCATACTATGGGATATTAATGTACGTTTTTTTAATATTATTCAAATTATAAACTCATTGATTATGAGAGAGAATATAATACAAATTTTAAAATCTTTTCTTTAGACAGGGGTGAAATTGAAAACTTATTCTATTTTTAGATAAAATTAATAAATTGACTACATATCCTTTGTTGGGTTATTCACCCTTGGTGGATTTGGCCCATATAAAAGCCCAAATTAAAGAATGAGGTTCTTGTCACAATTATGAAAAATGCTTAAGTTTAATGTGTAATTTACTCAGGGTCTCAAACGTAATTTTCTCCAATCTTTGAATTTTGAGAGGGAACGGTTGAGAAACTGAATTTGCCGCACATTCCCATATATCTTTGGTTATAGGTGCGGTTCACTCGATTTTTTTTTTCGGAGTGAATGAACAAAATGCTCTCATTTGTTTTTCTTGGCTTCTCATATTCTCTTTGTGTGTGCATTTGCTGTGTGTATCCGAATGAAGTTTGACCAGTGTGGCTTTGTTCCCACATACATATGTGCAACCCAACCACTACATGTATGCTTTCCTCCTCAGATTCTTACATTAGTATCAGAGCCAGGTTTTTCCTGGGCTACGTTTCCTATGTCTAAAGAACCTATAATGATTTTCTTAACCATATACACGCAAATCTACAAGTTCAATTTTTTTGTTTTCTTACTGTGTTTTCACATGAATTTGTATCTATTCGTCTTTATGATTATTATTGCCAAAATAAACATGTTTATATACTTCTTGGTTGATATGAGTGTTCGATATAAGGCTATACACGTTCTGCATGCAATTAACAGTGATGAACGTAACAACCGAAATCAAACCAAATAATGGGTGTTTAAAAATTGAGTTTTTTGAACAAAAGGATTACATAAACGTGTAGAGCTCGAAAAAACAAAGAAAACAACACCAAGAACACATAAAATGAAGACTGGACGGAGGAGATATGGCCTCTGAAAGTTTCAAATCTGACAAACTCGACCAGCTAGAGGAACTGGGTCAACTTGACTCGGTTAGAGGTAGAAGATGATAGAAACAATGCATCATTTATGTCCACGTCAAAACAACATGTCGTCAACAAAAATGATTGTCCAGAAGCCTTAAAAAAATAACTTTGGGCTTCCAAGCCCAACCTAAAAAAATAGTTTTTTTGTTTTGTTTTGGGTTATGGGCCTATGTGTTGGGTACATAAAACCCGACCTAGATTCAAAAAAAATTTTAATAAATAAAAAATATATATATTTAATTTAAATTTTTAAAATAAAATATAAATAAATATTTGAACATGTGGCACATGGGACCTATCAGGAGACTAAATTGGCGCGTGGTTGACCCATCCCTGAAGTCGTCAGCACATGGAGCACAACGAACAGGCTCATGTTGATATTGGAGCATGATAAGGTGACACATGCCTCTTCCGAGAGTGAAATATTCTTTTTTTTTAAGTTTTTCTAGAATTTCTTAATCTAGAATCATTCTTGAGCATGTGTGGGCGCATGTAGAACAAGATTGGGAAACAGTTTGTCTTAAAAAATTCTTAAATTTGATATCTTCATTTTGATATATAATTCACATGTTTTAGAGACAAAACAAGAATTTATTTTTGAGTTATCTAGTGCATTTTATGAGTTTAATAAAAAAATATTTCCTAAATTTTTTGTTTTATTTTTTAGGTAAATATGAAGCAAGAGGCTTCTAACAGCACTGATAACTCACAAAATTATTCTGTTAGCGTTGAGTATTTGGATGAACTATAATATGATCCTCTTAGTGAGGATTTTGACTTAAAACCCTTCGAAGAGGAGGGGGAATATGAACTTCAAAGTGAGATTTTGATTCTGATCTTGAAAAGAATCCTAATGTTGATCTTAAAAATGTGCCAGAAGGACCTAAAGAGGTGTGCATGCTGCCGAGACCAAAATATGAATCAGAGGGTGATGAGAATCTTCAAGATGAAAATGATGATGTGGAATAACCTTTCACACCTTCAATGATCATAAATATAGCAAAAAGAGAAGCTCAAAGGATTAAAAAGCCATATCAAATTTCTCAAATAGTAAGAGCATATTCAAGCTTCATAACAAAAGAAAAACAAGCTATGGTTGTAGGAAAAATTTTCAAACAATTTAGGAAAGAGTTTGTGCAACATAACAAGTAAAACAAGTCGTACTCAGGAAATCCTCTATGGAATAGAGCCATCAAGGGGATGAAAGTACAAGAAAAATATAAAGACATAATTAAGAGTTGTCTTTTTAGGTTTATACCTCAAGCGTTTTTTTGTTTTTCAAGAATTTGTTTTTAGTTAAGTTATGTTGTATTAAGACCTTGATGATTTATGATATATATGAAGCATGTTATTTTATTTTTTTATTGCTTTATATATACTTTATTTGAGCGGGAGCTCTAAATTGATAAGTCATTTAAGAGCCATATATGATGATTATGAAAAAATTTGTAAAATTCTTTATAGATGATAGTGATTTTGTTAGAATCAATGTGATGAGAGATACAAATGTAGCCTCTTATTGTTGACCTTATAGAGTTGTTATCACTCTAATAAACAATAATACAAATATAAGCCATTATATGTTTCTCATAAGTATTTTATTCTTGGTTTAATATAGAAAATTATTAATGTGCGATAGTTTGTCTCAGAACTAAGAATGGCAACAAAAAATATTATCGCTAAATTGAATAAGGGCAACAAATTAAACAGGGATAACTGAGATATCTGGCACCGTAAGGTGTCATATATTTTAAAAGAACAAGATGCTGTTGAGCCACTAACTATGGTTATATCCAAGCCTGAGGTAGGAAACTCGGCTTAGTATAGGAGAGACCAAGAGGCATTTGTGGCATGGAAACAAAAAAATAGCATCACATGAATAACACTTCTAAGTGCTATGGCCGACAATCTGATGTGTGAATTTAAGAAGCACTCCACTGCCCAAGCCATGTGGGCTACCTTAAAGGAAAAGTTTGGTGGTACCTCAACTACCAAACTGACAAGGCTTACAATTAAATTTGACACTTATAAACTAAAGCCAAATACTCCTATATAGCAGCATCTTAGAGAGATGGCCAACATGATTTGTGAACTTAAAGAAGACGAGCACGATCTTTCTGATGAACAGCAAGTACAGGCTGTAATTGTAACATCCCAATTTAAATTTTAATAGTTAATTTGGGTTAATAGAAATTTTGAAAAATATTTAGAGGTAAGCAAATTAGTAGGAGATGATTATTAAATCTAACTTAGGATATAATTATAAATTAAAATTAAAAAATTTAAAAAAATAAAAAAAATATTATTAAATTATTATTATTATTATTATAAAAAAAAGAGAAAAGGTAAAAAAAACAAACAAACAAAACGAGAAGAATAAGAAAACTTTCGGCCGTGCGCGTGTAATCATTATATTTATATAATAATAATAATAATAAAAAAGAAAGAAGAGAGAGGAAAGAGGAAAATAATAAAAAAAATTTGTGGGACCCACATTCATTTTTTTAAAAACCACTGTTCTCTTCTCATTTTTCCTTCATTTCTCTTTTCTTTCGTGTGCGATCAGAGAGAGCGTCTGTGAGTCAGGTCGCCGGTGCGAAAGATCTAAATTTTTAAGGTAAGAGTTTTTGATAGGATATTTAGGGTGTGATTTCAAGCTTTTCAAGACTAAGTATGTGTTCTAAAATTTTTTCTTAGTCATCCTTTCTCTTTAGTTTCTGATTTTGTGGTGGTAGAAAATTTAGGATCTGAAAAAGGGATAAATTTATGTTGAATAAATATGGTTTATGAGATTGTTAGTAGTATAATAAATGTTCTAGAGTATAAATTTATTGATGATCTTTGAATTTGTGGCTTATGGATCAAATTCTAGACTAAATCTGAAAATATATGTTGATTTATTGAGGTTTAGATGATTATTTGGGATGAGAAATGAATTATTATGGCTATAGGATTATGATTCTAAGCTAGAGACTTAATTTTTAATTTTTGGGTATTTTAGGTGCGAATTTATAAAATAAAAAAAAATTTTGATAATAGAAATTAGTTTAAAATTTGATTTTTAGATTATTAATGTTTATTGATGAGTAAAAGAGGAGTTAAAAATTTACTTAATAGTATTAACTCTAGATTTGTATTAAGATTGAGATTAGGAATTATGTTATATTTTTAATTCTATTATTAGAATTATTTATTAGTTTCAAAAATTGAAACTAATATTTATAAATAATATGTTATTTGTAGATTGTATTATTGGTGAAGATTGTAGTGGGAGAGAAATTGTAAGGAATAATTTTATTGAAAAAGCCACAAGGTAACCATACTTTTAATTTGAGATTAGTGTTATTTCATGTTAATTGGGTGATTATTGAAAAAATTATGAATTTTGTAATATTGTATAATTGTGCAATATTATTATGAATTTATTTGATTATTGTGGAAAGTGTTGGGAGACTTGCTATTGTTGTTGTATTTATGTGCCACGTGGTACGCCTCTATTGGAGCTCAATAGATGGCTTGTAAGGGCTCAGGCTAATTTACCTTTGGCCGGGTAATTTAGCACCGAGTGAGGGCTACGGCTCGAGGTTAATAGAGGGATATAAGGATGGTTGTTTGTATGTATTGTAATATTTCTTATAATTGTTGGAATTATATTATTTTTAATTTTCACTTAATAAGCACACACTTAACTGTTTGTATACACTATCATAAATTGGCTTTGGTTACTGGGACTTTTGAGTCTCATTATGTGGTTAAAAATTTTCAGGAGAAGAGCCACGAGTGACACGTGGAGGAGTCCCAGAGGCTTAGTGGCATAGATCCACTGTCTCTTTTGGGTATTTGATTTATGATTTAAAATGTGTTATATTGCCAATATTAGGGCTTTTTATTTATTGTCAATTATATGAATATATAAATATAATCATGCCTTTCAAACTATTTTTATTTTTGGTACAATTTGGATGACTATAATTTTAATATTTGGTTTACTTTGGATTGGTTAAAATGGAATGATTATAAAGACAAATAATTGGCTTGTATTGAAAATTGACTAAATTGCTTATTTTACTTGTTGGGAGTATAAGGATGGACAAATGTGATTTAGTTTACTTGTTGGGAGTATAAGGATGGACAAATGTGATTTAGCCTAATGGCATGTGGGAGGTAAAAATTTATCTGAAATGTTATATTGTGTGAGTTGAAGCCAATTATAAAATATTTTATATTGAAATTATTGATATAAAAATGTGTTGGGTGGCTGTAACCCAACTATGGTTAAGTTAAATTATTTTAAAAAAAAATTTGGTGTGTTACAGTAATCAGATCTCTCCCAACCAATTGGGAGCATATGAAAGTTAACTTAACCCATAATGAAAACATTGTTAACTTTAACGATGTGGCTAAGAACTTCGCTATGTAAGAGAGGTTGGAGGATCGAACCTGGGAAGGCTCCCTTAGCGCAGTGGGTGTGGGAAATAACTCCTGAACTACCAGGAGGAAAGCCGGCTGGTGGTTGCCGTGAGGTGGCACGGCCCAGTCCACCACTCGCAACAGTGGGCTCGGGGGGGTGTGACTGTTACATAGAGGTTGAACATCTAAAGGCTTACAAGTCATTTGGACAGGCTTACCTTGTCGAGAAAGGTGGTCCTTCAAATTCTAAGGCCAAGAGGGGCAAGAAGCAATAAAAGAAGGGTACAAGAGTGGCCTTAAAGTAAAGAAGGACAAATAACCTTTCAAGAAGAAGGGAAAGAAGAGCCAAAAAAAGAGAATTAACCTTAAAAAGGTTAAATGTTTCGCCTGTCAAAAGATGGGCCATTTTGTAAAGGATTTTTCTGAGCAAAGTGGATGTGATCATGTACTTGTGAATTATATGAATTCACATTTTTCTTATGTTTCCAGTAATATTTTTCTAACGAAAATTGTTTTCTCTTCTTAGATTATAGACTCAGGCTCCATAGACCACGTAAGCAAGGATCGTGGATCTTTCATAGAGTACCGTCAGTTGCAAGGTGGCAACAATGCGAGGATCAAGGTAAAAGACGTAGGAACTTGCAAGTTGAACTTGCGTGGTGAAAAAACCTTAATTCTTCTTGATGTTTACATGCACCGAATATCCGACAGAACTTAATTTCAATTGCTTGTCTTTTAGAATTTAGGTTTGTAATTAATTTTCATGACAAGATTGTTGACATTATGTACAATTCAACCTTTTATAGTTGTGCTTTTCTTTCAAAAAGGTTCTTTATTATGAATATTGTTGATAAAGTTTATTTTCATGATTGCTTTACCACCTCTTCCAATAATGTTGATATGAATATCTAGCATGCTAGACTAAGGCATATTAATCAAAATAAAATGATTAAACTAGCTAAAGAAGGAATGCTAGGTCCAATTACAAACATGAAAATTTCCTTATATGAAAATTGTCTAGCTGGTAAAGCAACGAGAAAACCTTTTGGTAAAGGTGTTATGGCTGAAAATCCATTGCAATTAATCCATTCTGATATATGTGGCACAACTATATTTTGTCCAGCCATTTTTTTTAAATTTAATAAAAACAATAATAAATAACTAAAAAATATATAAAAAATGAAATTTAATCCTTTTTAGGATTATATTTTCAAAAAAAATAATTAATAGAGTTTAATTTTATTTTATCCTAGATAATCTTTTGTTGAGTAAGATTTTATTTCTTTTAGTTCATTAAAATAATTAAAATATATAAAAATATAAAAATAAAATTTAATCCTTTTTGGGAATATATTTTAACAAAATTAAAAGAAAACAACCTTGCTTAAATCTTTAAAAATCTCTCCCAAATTATCCCAATGATTCGAAAATATTGGGAGTCAACTTTTGAGAGTCAACTTTTCTCTCCTTAAATCTTATTTTTCATATATATATATATATATATATCTGTGTGTGTGTTAATCTAATTATAAATTAATTATTATTAATTAAGGCTGGAT